TTTGAATCAGAGTAGTCAAGCAACTATTAGTCTCACGAGTAGTCTCAAAGAGTGCGGTCGAAAGAATAACATGTATAGATAAAACACGAGTCTGATTTTTTTGTTTTTCCTTTTTGTTTCCTTTTAAACGATTTCCAGTTGCTGTTTATTTATTCGTCGTTGTAAAACAGATCTTGACAAACCCCTTATAAAAGGAATACCGCGGTATAAAGAGGCCGAGTGCATTCCTCGCCGTACTTACAGTGATTGAAGCCCCATGTTCCTTAAGATGGTATTATTGAGTCGGGAATTGTTGTTGGTGGAGTCCCGCTTTGGTTGAGCTCTGTTTGCTTGGATACCCAATACTGATAATTCCAGTTTGGGATAAATTTGGCCACAAGAGTGATCGTTTATTTCATTTAAGCATATCAAGCTAGGAAAATCCAGATACACAAGAAGATTTATCCCAGCAAAGGTGAGGGCACACCCGCCATTCGGGAGATGAAAGTGGAGCCAAACGGGAGGGAAGGGAGGGAAAAATGTTTTCCAACTTTCTTGTTGCAGTGAGCAGAGAGACCTTGTGCCTCGCTGTCGTGTCATAAAAACACATATATAATGTCCCGGATCGCAGAAAAGACCCCTTCCAGGTAGCTGGAGATTGGCAAATTAATCAGTCACATTAAGCATGAAACCATTTATTTCTTTCAGAAATAACTTTCCTTTATGCTCCATGTTCCTTAAGATAGTATTAATTATTGAGTCGGTTATTGCCGTTAGTGGAGTCTCGCTTTGGATGAGCTCTGTTTGCTGGGATACACAATAATGACAATTCCAGTTTGGGATAAATTTGGCCACAAGAGTGGCCGTTTATTTCATTTAAACATATCAAGCTAGGAAAATCCAGATACACAAGAAAATTTATCCCAGCAAAGGTGAGGGCACACCCGCCACAGCCCGTAGCAAGAAACGAGTGACATACCCTTATAAAAGGAATACCGCGGTATAACGAGGCCGAGTGCATTCCTCGCTGTACTTACAGTGATATGTTTAGGATAAGGAACCCCTGTTACTTACGAACACATTTCTCCAAGCAGAGCCCAGGTACTCGGTTTATCTGGATTCCAATGCATGTATGATTCCAATTGCTGATGGAATTATGTTACGCTTAAAATGATGTTCTATTGTGGCGGATATAAGATGTATTCAAATTAGTGTGCATGCATTAAAAATATGCTTGTGTTCATTATCCCGTGCGATGACGTGTTAGGCATTGTTTAAGCCTGAATAATATATAATTATGCACAGTTGTCATTTCGTAAAGAGTTTCATTAAACGCGGGTAAAGAGGTTCTGCTCTGGCACGGCCTGCTGCCTTTTTTGTCGGATGCTTTGCAGCAGGCCGTGCTTCCTTTGCAACCGCAATCAGTACGAGATTTTGGCAATGGAGCTCATGCAGTGAGGTGCGGCTGTCTTGGCCGGAACACAAAATGCTGTAAGCTCCGTATTAGGCCTTCGAACTCCATTTCTACGCCAAGGAGACATGACGGATTTTTTTTCTTCCGTACACTTTTTGTGCTATTTGTGGAAGCTCCTGTTTTCTGTTTGAGGAGAGTATATTCATTGCCTATTACAGGGTGAATTGTTATATATTTTTCTCCGTTTCTGCGGGTCAGCATTCCAAGTCTCGTCCGTGATGTGCCTTTGTGATGTGGTTTGCTTTATAGTTTTTAGTTTGCTTTCGCTTTATTTTTTATTGGCGTTGCCACTTTGTTCAAGAATCGTTTGGGATTATCTTTGCCGAAGGGGCCTACACGCCGGGTGACCTGGTCTTATTTGTCCAAAATAATATATCGATAGTGAGTTCAACGTGTAGGGAGTTAACGCCTTTTTAATTTATGTGTTAATCATCCAAAAGACGGCAACGAATCCTTGTGAGCCAAATAGAGGTTAGCGGTAGGGGCTTCGTGATCCCGATTATGAAGTGAATGGGCATCGCTGTGAGCTTGTTTATATATACAGTGACTGGCATGGGTATCGATTTAATGAGTGGGCGTCTTTGTGGGCCTGTTTATGAAGCCACGTATCATCTGCGATGGGTATCTTTGTTAGCCCGATTATAAAGTGATTGGGTGTCGTTGTCAGGGGCACCCAACCACCCCCTTAAATACAATTATATATAAAAAAAAGCCTAGCCTGGACAGTGAAATGTGAACAATTAAACTTCAGAAAATCGTAGGTAATTTATTAGCTAAACTTCGAAAATTTTAAATGAATCCGCTGAAACGGTCATCTTGAATTGTTTAGCCGTCCTCAAGTAATAAAATTCTAGTCAATATTTGCTTCTCCGAAAAAAATACTTTACAAAAAACAGTCGTTGGGTGCCTCTGCTTTGTGAGCCTCTTGGACCCAGGTAAAGTATCATTTGAAAGACTTACTCAACAAAGAGCCACAAAATTAAGGTGCGGCACTCAGACGTGAGCCCGGAGATGGAAAGGAGCAGAAATTAAGGCATAGAACTGAACCATCGCTGTGGTGACGTTAGCTCCCTCTCCTTTCGCCTGTGTCCTCTTCTCGCACCTCATACTACTTCCATGCGCCTGCTACACAGGCTAATTACATATAGAATACTTCATGGAAAGTGCGGGCGTACGGTATTTTCGCACGAGTTGTTGACGTACTTCCAGAAACCGAAAGAGTAAGATTTCTGATACAAAAACAGCGATCTCGGAAATACCGTACAAAGCATTTTCCATGTGGTATTGTGTTTGTTACTGCTAGCCTTTTATTTCAAATCTTTTTGAAATGCTAAAATCTAAAAAATATGTCGCTACACAACGCAAAACTGACGTGACAAAGAAAGCGAAGAATATTCATACTAAAAACGTTTGGTAAAAATTATAATGAAGGTTAGGATATTAAGGTAACCCAGGAACTACAAGAATGTCGAATACACAAACAGCTAACCAAAAAAAAAACAAAAAAACAACAACAACAAAAAAAACAAGAGAGCATCTCGGGATATCAATTTCCTTCAAATCTAAATTCCCACAGAGAAGCATTCCTATCTGCAAAGCTCACAGAGCGACCTCCAACACCTAATGCAATAAAAACAGTACTCGAAACTCGATCCAACGAGCCTTCTCCACTTGAGGGGGTAGTATATATATGATGCATAATAAACGTAGCGATCAATATCAATGTGACAATCGTAAGACATCACTGAAACGATAAATTAAACCCTTTATATACATAAGAATGTTACACTCGTCTGATAGTTTGTAAAAAGTGGTTAGCAGTATCGCAAACCTTAAACAGATTTTTTTGAAGTCTATTTAATAATATCATTCGCCTTTGACGACCTATTCCAGAATGTGGTCAATCGAATGAGTTGTAACGAGAGGAAACTTCACTGTGTCAAGCGGCTTTACGGCTTGTCAAACCAAATTGGCGGGAAAGTCGAACTAGGAAAACAGCGGAACTAATTAAAAGCTCTTCGCGAGGGTGCGAGAATTAGCAAATAGTGATCTGCTAATGGAAGTTATCGACGGGGGAAGCTGCAATTCGGTAGAGCAACTGGCTCGCTGATGGCACTCATTACTACTTCCTGAGGTACAGGGTCTAATTTCCACGTCCCAAGGTAAGAAGCTTGGACAAGAACCGAGACTTTTCTGTAATGCTGCAACTTCTTTATTGTAGAGTAAACCTCGTAGGTAGTATTTCACATGTAATCGTAGGTAATCATCGCAGGTAATCGCAGGCTAGGAAATCGTTTTACAACAGTTTAAGCACTACTTTTATACAGTCTACAGTAAACACAGGTGTTCGATTATCACAAAGGAACACAAAACCTATTTAAAAATACACGTGCTAGCTGATCAACGCGTTACATTTCGATTGGTTAAAAGACTTTTCCTTTATGGTGAAAATACAATACTTCCTAATTCGGTTCCTGGACTTTAAGAAAAACACATGTTGTAAATCAGGCTGAATGAATAGAGCACAACAGTTGTTCCTTTGAAATGTAAAATAGTTCTCGTCTTGCAAAGAGACTCGCACACTTTCTGTTCTATTAAAATTACATGGTCAGGCGTTCCGATATTTGTTCACAGTTGTCACTGCCTGCTATTTTACATTTGAATAATACACTTGTTTCAGCTGTTCCGGAGTTTTTGAAAGATACAAAAGAGTTAAAACTTAGAATTGCTGAGTAGTGCAGAATTGCTACAAAAACGCTCTGATGAAACTGAGTTCCGTTCTAAAGATAGCATTGAAATATCGGCTGTGACAGAGCCTTTAGCTCATTCAGTCTTGACTGCTTCCATCCAGTCTTCCTTTCTCTGATCGATAGGTAGGGAAGGGGGCTTCAGAATGACTGTCGGACCGGGAGGAAGCCAGTTACTGTATCTTTGTCTTTTAATTAAACTGAGTACCGCTCTACTGTAATAAAAACACTGCAGAACAACTACGAAACAGCATTTAATTTGTTTAAAAGTGCTTCATACAATATAAGTGACCGTTTGCCTGTTGCTGATCAGTAGTTCAATATTTTGAGGTCATTTTGTTAGTTAATTACCTAGCAGTTGTAAAGAGTAAACTAGGCTGTAGTACAGTCATTTGACTAAGAAAATTATCGTTGCCCAAAATGCCTTAATTTATGTCCTGGTTTAATTTGTTCACAATAAGAGTGTGAGCTACGTCAATACCCCTATACCAATCAACATGAAATTTTAAGTTAACAATATTTTTCCCCCTGTCCACTTCTTATGTAATTGTTGTCCATCCTAATTTATCTGTAAGTCAAAGGCATTGTTTGACTTCCTAGTAAGTTCCATTACTACTGTTTGCTTAATTTTTGTTATTTTAAAGCAGCCAAAGAATCGACTATTTATCCTCATATTAATTTGTAACATGTTATCTTACCTTATTTTTTTCTCCCTCCTTTATTTTTAATACAAGAAAGAAAGAAAGCCACTTTGAGTGAAACTCAAAGATAACATGTAATGCCCTTTTTGTGCCCTGTGTTTAATCAGTACCACAATAACGGCCATTACAAACAGGTGAATCGTTAAGATAGTACACATAATATGAACCACAATTTCTCACTTTGATTCTTGTTGACCATTGACAGCAGCTTGATGTCCAGTGGAAACACACCTGCCTGCTGACCTGACCGTCTGCTACCGTGGGGTGTCCACCATTTATCCAGTTTGTAACTTGAGTCCCACATCTGTAATATGGTTGACATGAAGTTGGCATTCTTGTGCCGGCGGACCCCTCAAAACGAAACCAACCAGGTCCGATTGCACTGTCACAATAACTGTGGTACGTGCGGTATGTAATCTTTCTGGTATAACTGTTAAGGCTAGCGTAATTCTGACATTCTGATATATAAAAAACAATAATGATTTAACTTTTAAAAAGCTAGAAAATCATTTAATATTCTAATATTTCTTGTAATTTAATGATTCGAAAAGTTTTATCTTCTGTACATAAACAGGTCTTTCACGTCCTCTAAGATCCCCAGCACCTGCCCCTGCTGTGACGATATTTGTCTACATATGAGTAATTGAGCCAGAGGATTGGTTACTGACTTTCACACACAGGTAGACATACAGTCAAGTTTAAGCAACAACATGGGAATGGGAGGCAAATATATCTGTAGGCATTCTTAAGCTGCCTCGATCTGCGCCCGCAAATGGAAGAGTGATTTCTGCTACATACGATGAAGTAGGGAACTAGTGGGTATAATAATATTTTTATGCACTAAAACTGGTTCAATTCATCACATTGATGCTAGATTGTTTGTTTGTTTGTTTGTTTGTTTTTAAAATCGTCTGTCCTAGAATCAGTAAAAAACATTTTACTTTTCAGAAAGAAACTCTAGTACAACTCGATTAATACTTAATATTTCATTGCAATAGGATTGCCAAATAACGGTTTTCTCTTTTTAACTGAAAAAATAAATAAATAAATAAAATGGGAACACAAAAGCAGCCAAAATAACAAAGGTTGGTCAGATGTAATTATGCAAATACATTGTACAACCTCAAGTACACAGTTTAGAGACCTGTTCACGTGTAGTTGGTAACCCGCCTGTCCATATAATCTCTCATTTTAATTTGATCAAGTTTACATGATAGGCAGGGGGTGACCATATGGGAGATTGTAAAGACAAACGGGTTACCCTACCTACCTGCCTTCGAAAAACGGCTATCCAAATTAAAGAAATTTCCACAGTTATTCTGAATCGTACAAGAACGAAAAACGTTCGAAGAGAGTGTCACTTCATCTAACTGCGATGCGACGCGACATAATGGGAATTGATATAAATTAAGTTTTGCGGAATTGCAAATCGGTCACTGTGACTGGTATATGTAAGAATTTTTTGCTTCTCACTTCACCAACTTATTCTTTGCTCGATGAATAAACAGACGTGAAATTGGATTAGTCTGGGGATTTCTCAGTTAAAAAAACTTCGACATTTTTGTGAATGGTTTTGGCAAATAATTTTTGATTTGTTGCAAATTAAGACTTATTAGGAATTATGTTTATTAGTATTTACATTAAATGTTTCAGTCATTTTAACTCCTATTTTTCCTCAGACCGAATTAAAAGACCCACTCCAAGTGACTGAGTTCATAAAGTCTACTGGACGATACCCCTACTGAATACTGAAAGGTTTTGAACGAGGTTTCACATTATTGAAAAGCATGGTAAACTAGCAAAGTTGCTAATCTAAATTTATGATTTTTATGACGTTCTCGTTCCTGTGGTGGCTCTCTATTGTAAAAGCTCCTAATATAAAAAAAAGGGAAAAAAAAGTGACTTGCGCACGAAACGTTACTAATTGAAGTCGCATTATTTTTTCTTCGTTTGGCGTTTTTGGTTAAAGGTCGTAAAGCAAATTGCAACAGAATTAATAAACAAGGGTAAAGGGAAGGAAGAGCGAAATAAAATACACTGTAAGGGAAAGGAAAGCGGATGTAGCAAACTGAATTTCTTTCAAAGGTTAAAGGTTGCAGTGAATGAATAAAAATAAAATCCAAACACAAGATACTAAAAGAAACAGATATTAACAACGTTAAAAAGATACTAACTAGCAAATTTAAATTTAGGGGAACATTCTCTGATGATCTATTTCCGAACGTTTCGTTAGACAGCAGCTGGGTCTCGACAGTTAAAGTTGACTGCTTTCGCAGTTGACGGCAAAATTAGAGAAATCAAGTAATTATAGTGAATATATCGTGAAGTTGTAATGGTTCGGTCGTGATCAATGTGATGATTTTTCGACTTCCCGCCTTAACATGGCGGAAACAAGTTCAAAGTTTTCCTCTTCTATTGAGAATCTTATTGAGTCAGAAATATTTCATACATTAAATGAAGCTGAGTATATATGATGTGAAGAATTATGCAGATCGAGGATGAGCATGCCATCGATTGCGTACTGCCTACATCGACCTCCAAATATGGTAACCATGTACCGGTTGTGAGGATTTAGCGGCGGGACAGACAATCAGAAACGGTGATATATTGAATAAATAATATTGAGAAGAAACGTGCAATATTTTTTAAGTTTGTAACCCTTTCCAATCTCACCCCCATGCTTCTATTTAAACCATTTTAGTGAGAAGGGTCTAATGACAAAGCGATTCCTGCTAGTTAAACCTTTCACATATGTAGCACCCCAGTACTCTTCGCCTTGTGCAACGGATTTACAACGCTCCATTTTCATATGTTTCTTATAGTGAAGCTCCTTTATCTCTTGTAAAAAATTGGACCAAGAACCCTTTGATGATGCTCAAGGTTTTAAGTTGGCCACTGATCATCAGTCCATCTGATCAGTTTATGGCAGCTAATGGGGTCCTTGTTGCAACGTTTCAGTTCCTCTTACTTGGTCAGGTCGCGACTAAAAATCGTTTTCTTACACTTTTCTATGGGGTACTGAACTCTCTAGTATATGTTATCTTGGTGCATTGTTTCTTGGTGTTGCAGAAACTAATTAATATTAGTTCGCTTTTGTTTTGTGTTGTAGGAATTGTTTACTAAGTTTTCGTCTCCGCAACTCCAACAAACTACCATTATCTTAAGGCTCCAGCAGCCAAAAGAAGTGATGTCTATAAGAATCATAGTCCGTTAATCGCTAGACCACTGTCGGTCTTCAAATATTCCTTAACATAAGAGGTTGCCGTACAAAATCCAGATGGAGTGAGAGGCTCAAACATTTGTTGACGGCTGGTTTAGTCACGTAGATGAGGAAATGAGTATTAGGACAATCCTACGGGACGTAATGACGTTCCCTACGCTGGCATACTGGGAGTCTAGTATATGGACATCTTCGTAATATTCGGCGAATTGATTACCTGATGGTAGATTGCAAGTTCTGCCATCCCCGCTGGAAGGACTGTTACATGAACAACTAAAAGATCCCACTGTGTTTGTACATGACGCAAGTGAGCTGTGGCAGTTGTGAGTACCGCTGGCGCACTCGTCAATATCTACAAAACGAAGAATGCCAAAATGTAATATATGGATTTAGCCAGGGCTAAAAGCGAGGCTCCCATTAATAAATTTATAATTTAAATCAAACAATAAACTTGTATTCCACAATTCAGTTAACTTTAGAGCACATTCGTGTGACTTTTCAGGTAAAGGCTAAGTGATTTTACAAAAAATAAGTTGCAAACAGCCCAAGAGTGAACCAAATCTCACATCGAGTTGATAGCCTCATAAGTACACCCAAAAACTGGCAATCTTCTTCGATCACATTTATTAAGAGCCATAATGGCTCTTGATCACCGTAGATTAATTAGGCCTGGAAAAAAAATTCCGGCCGAATTTTTTGCGTTCGACAAGTTTATTTTACAAAATCTTGCCAACAAATCTGGGTGCTTGTAAACCAACCTTTTATATCATTTATACATCACATCTGAGGTGAAACAGTACTATGAGGCACTGTTTTTATCATACAGACCTCGGACAGCAGAATGCAATATTTCACAAAATTGCGATACAAACTGCTATTCAGGACGATCGAAGCACGCGTGGGCTTTAGCCGTAAACCGTTGAAAAAATTTTCAAAATCATCTATACGGCCAGCCGGTTCTGACTTTTACAGTGCTAGCAGTGGCGAGTGTTTGAATGAACATTAACAGAGTTACGCTCCAACATAATAAAGAATTTATTATGTTTATTTTTTATTTTAAAACCCTTTAACGCGCGGCATTTTGAGTACTCAGAGAAGCGTTGTTTACTGAACGACTGAAAACAATCGGCACAACGATTAAATTTACAAGAAAGAGTACTAACAATCAATAAAAGAAATATAATTCGGTGAAACATATACAGAGACGACAATTTTCATTCAGGAAGACAAGTATTAAAGTGTCTCTAAAAATCCTGAGTCTTCGAGCTTAAAGCTGAAGTTTATGTTTTAAGCCGGCTTCCCGGTGTTTGCTTTTTTCAAAGACGAACTCGAGGCAAGAAAATCGCTCAAACCTTTCTTTTACAGCCAGAATTATACCTAAACATTCTTTGAAACGTTTTCTTTCTATTTGCGGTGAGAAAATGTTTAAAGGTTTTTTAAAGATCTGTAAGCTTATAACAAACCTGATACTCGGTCAGATCATTGTCTCAAATCTTACAAACGTGCGTAAACAAAATAGCCGCATAAACTACCCTCGACTTCATAAAATTAGGAATAAAAAACAAACATCAAATACAATAATTACTTAGGCTTACCACTCGAGATGCAGCTCCTGAAAGCTATCAAGTAAGGCCAGTATCGCTTCAGACTTTGCAACCCTCTTACGCATTAAGCAAGATGAAAACGAAAACGATGCCATTCGAAATCAGATTTCCGACTTTGACTCAACCAAAAACCCAATAAACAAACTAGCCATGAATAACAGAAGACTCCTGATAGCAGCTGAATTTCATTTTGTACATCCGGTGGAAAAAGAAAGTTAAAAACATCACAAGTTGACACAAAACTCTGTCAGCTTAAGCTGTCAAAGTAAACAAGATTCAAGATGCTGCATAAATTTTCCGCATGAACTCACCTGTCAAATTTTGACCAATCAGGGCATAAAAATTGGACGTAGAGCGTGACCAACGCGTGAACATGGCGAGAAAAGTCAAAAGCAACTGTCTTCCCTGCCTGTAGCAGCTGGTTGAATTTTCGCGTCCGAGGTCAGTTTGAAATCAAAATTTTAATTGAGCGGCACATAAACACAACATATTTCATATGAATTTAAAAAAAAATTAAACCTGAGCCTGCGATCATTTGAAAACCAGTTCCTTCTCAGCGGATAACTTCAAAAAAAACACTTGACCTCGATGGGTCGACACCTGAGCCCGCGATACAGTCAAGTGATACTGGTCAGCGGATACCTTGTTTTGACAGCTGTCAACGGATCACAACATTGACGTGTATCAGTTTTCCTGTGCTTCGATCCCAAACTAGCTAGAAAGTATGAGACTGAACATTGATCGCGATTTAGTAAAATAATTAACTGGTCAACGGACAGCTTCCAAATAAATCTCGTCACCTCAATGAATTGACACATGAGCCCGCGATATGGTCATGGGATACTGGTCAGTGGCTATCCCGTTTTGACAGCTGTCAATTGACCATATTGTTAATGTCCAATGTAAAACATGTGGACTTGGCAAGACACGCCTGAGACACCCCTCTCTTTCTTTTGATAGTCTCCCCTACCCCACCCATACAATCCGTAGACGCGTACGTACGTACGTACGCTCGTTCAATCAAGTGACAACCAAAGGAAAAGAGTTGACCATAATCTATGGGTATGGGGCTCCGTCCCACGCGCGCTTCGCGGGAGTTCCGCTATTATCAAAACGAGAAAAACGGGAATGAATTATCTTAAGCGCAATTAAAGGCCAAAAATCATTAATGTAAGAGCTGCTCGTAAGGTGTTTCCTCATTGGTCGCAGAAACAATAACACGTCATTATTTATCATTATTTCCTATTGTTTCACAGTTAGGGTATCGAACCAATTGACTTTTAGGCCTAAAACAATAATCACAGGTTTCAATCACCATCGTTGCACTTGTCATATAAACTGGCTGCTTGGCTCCTCATTTCTTTTTGTTTACTATAGATACATTCAATATTAAAATTAATTTAAATTCCAGCCTAACCAAAACTTTAACTGTGAAAGGCGAGAAGAGCACAAAAGACTCTTGTATTGCTGTCGTTGCTGGTCACTCTAAAAACAAACATACCAAACAAACAAAATTATACTTAAAAGGCTCACCAGTGCATGTGGATCCATCTCCTGTGAATCCTGCTTTACATGCGCATGCGTAAGATCCAACAGTATTACTACACACGGCATTAACGTCACAGCTGTGAGAGTTGGTAGAGCACTCGTCGATATCTGGAGAAAAAAGTGAGGAAGGCTTCTTGTTTAGTGATGCAGCAAACTCTTGGTCAATAAGGTCATTTACTCTCATTCTCTCTATGCGTTAATCCTGTTTAAGCACAATAGGTAATCGATTTTTTTGCCTTTTTTACATAGAAACGAAGGGAAAAAAACATTAAATTACACCAGAAACTCATAAGGGGTTGATTCAAGGCATTTAAAAATCAAATAGGACAATTAGACAAAAAGAAAACAGAAGAGAAAGGAGTCCTAGGTCTTACGACAGATTAGACCCTGGTCACCCAATCAGTTTCTAACAGGTTTTGCTTGACAACTGTGCATGACCGAGTTTAGTGAAACTTTGCAAGATACGTATTTCTAGTTTTACTTTATTTATTTTTCGAACCATTAAGGTTATATGCCCATCGTTTTCTACATGTTTAAATGTAAAGATCGAATGTAGAAAATACAGGCACGCACATCGTTTTGGAAGCGTTTTTTTTTTGCAACACCGCAACAGCTTACCAGAGCATGTTTTTCCATCGCCTGTAAATCCTGCTTTACATGCGCATGCGTACGATCCAACAGTATTGCTACATACCGCATTAACGTCACAGCTGTGAGAGTTGGTAGAGCACTCGTCGATATCTGCATGAGAATTGTAAGTCACGTAAAGCGTTAGAATAACTAATATTAAATCTACCTGATGGTTTACATCTGGTAGCTAAGGCGGATGTATTCATTTTTTTGGTTCTTGTTTGTTTGTTGTTTGCATGTTATAAAAAATATGGTTTTAGCCTATTTTTCCAAAATGACTTGACAGTGTTGTAGAGCTTTTGCACACAAACACTGCACCTTCAATGGTTTCGTCGTCTTGTTTAAAAACCTTCAGATTAGAGTCGCTTACGAGGAGGTGTCGTTTACAAAAATCGAACATTAACAGGTCGTCTCTTTGGAAAACAATTTATTGCGTGCAATTTCAAAGTTACGATATGTGTAGCTCTATGTCGACTTATGGGTCGCTTAGGAGAGGTGGTCGCACATGGAGGATCAACTGTATCTCAAATACCATTGCAAGGTTTTCCATCTCCTGTGTACCCAGCATTACACGAGCATTTGTATGAACCCACGGTATTCTGGCAAACGGAATTGACGTCACAGGAATAGGAACCAGTGGTACATTCATCCAAGTCTAAAAAGTAAGCACACAGAGGCTTCTTGTCAAACAACATGGCTTTTTTCAGTTAATCAAGCTTGTTTAAAAAGAATATTCTTTGCTGTAGTTGGGTAATTGACGTACACTGGCAAGGCAAAAAAAACAAATGTTTGAAAAAAGGAACTTGCAAAAAGGGTCGTAAGCGTGCCCTGAGTTAACGTATGTAACTTATGTTCGCATCGCAAGGAGGTGTTTAGAAAACCGGGTTAAAAAGTAAGCGGAGGTTAGCGCGACTTTTCCCGTGGTTCCAACGTATGGACGCTTTCTCGTTCTTCTTTTGATTACGCTGATATCAGGCTTTGCGGCCATTTTTAACGCAAAGGTATACGACTTGTTTCCCTATGTTTCTAATAATGAAACTAATTGGTGTTACCCTCTCTTCCATCTGTCTAACCATCTGCCTAACATGCTGTAATTGTGTTTCGACCTTTTTGAATGTAGTTTTAACTCAGTAGATTCACTCTCTGGAACGTGAAGATTAAGATATATACGGTTATAAATCTTCATAGTGCTACGCTTATTACCTTTAAAACAAGTGTAGTTGTAACAGTTAGTACATGGCACATCATTCCAAGTGTAACCATGCCTGGCGCCGAGAGTGTGAACACAGTCTTCGTTTTTCCAGTCGTTCGGTTGCTGTGGGGCCCAGAACCTAAATTTGCTTATTTCTTTGTTTGTCCACACAAAGGAGCCCTCCACACTTCGGTCATTAAGTCCAATCCAAGATCTCTCTCCGTTGTGACGGTGTTGAATGTAGACATTTTCTTCTTGATTGTGAACCGTTACCAAATTGGAACTCATCGTAGAACAGTTTGACTCAGCGGTCAGCCACGAGGCGCATGCATGACTTGTGAAGTAACAGTAGCCACCGAAAAAACTCCATCTTGGTTGGCAAATATCTGTGATAAAGATATAAAACGACTGTGTACTTTAGAAATCTCCATACATTTGGTTCCTTAAAGAGTGCCTTCTCCACAGGCTTTCCCAAGGCTTAGTTTATAGGGAGAACAGAACAATTGAGAAGCGCGAGAAATGGAGGCAAGCAACGCGAGCGACTGGGGAGGAGGCAGCTTCACAAACATCATTCCAACTGCTTGTGCGGCCGATACGCTTAGCAGGAGGAAAAGAGGAAAATAAAACTGACCACGCCAAATTGAGAGCAGTATTTACTGATTAAATGGAATAATCAGTAGCAAAAACAGTGAACGACTTCCAGGGAGCTAATATTTAAAATGATCGCCTTTCTCTATTAATGAAATGACCCTCGTATATAAGTTATCTCTGTATGCATTCATAATGAATTAGTTGTGAGTAATCAGTAAAACCTATGTGTTGCTAAAAAAAAGAATGCCATTAAACCATTCTTACCTGACAAGACAGTATATGACACAGAGAGAGGGTCGTACTTTGACTTGTACAACTCCTTTAAACACACTCGAGCTCCAGTTGTGTTGACATACTGAAAAATGAGATATGTGACGATGAGAGTGCATTTGATAATGCACAATTCCTTAATTATTTCGTCTTACTCTCGACAATATAGTGTACTTTGCAAGTGACCACCTTCAATACCGTATTAACTACAGTACTGCCTAGCACTTAAGCCCCGTGCAATTAACCGACACAACATTCATTCAATCAACTCGCTCGCTACACGATGAGGTACTAGGAATCTGATTAACATCTTGGTCTTTATTTATTATCTTCTTTGACGCCCGCTAACAATCTTAATCTTCTTACTCTTCTTCTCTACTCAATCCTTGCTCTAAACTAAGTCAAATAGCTGACCAAAGCTGGACATGCTTGAGTTAGCTGACGGTGGGAATAAAAAACAAGGTGAACTCGGTGTGGCTAATGTTTTGGTATTTCTGAACCTACATAGTTGTGATCAGTAAAAAGCTACAAACCGATGAAAAACTAAAACGCTGGTTAACAAGCCAAAACAGGAACTTCAACGAGACTAATGAACCAATTGTCAGCGCTGACATGACAAAAACGGCCACCTATGATAAAGTAGCAATATTCTGACAATTCTTCGTTTTCACTGCCATCCAATAAACACGGCATAAAAAATAAACTGGAAACCGTCCTGTTGAAGAAGCCAAGAAAATGAAATGTTGTAACAGACTAACAATTTATCCAAATCTCAGGTCTTTGTGGTCCACAGTTTCTAAGTTATTTGCCTAAACATTTCACGTGCCTTCGTGTAAATAAGAATTCGTAAAACCTCGCTCTTTTGACTTTGCAATCTGATGACGTCACTGTTAAAAACATCAATATTCCTAATATGACTTTAAGTAAATCCGCGAGCTGTACTAGAAGATCAAAATAGGTAAAACACCCACGAAGAAAAAATCTACACTAACTTTGACCCGCTTAATGAAACAAAAAATAAACTTTAAAGATGAGAACATTCTTAAATACTTCACAACAGATGTTACACGTTGTGTCCGTTTGCACACCCTGTTGCATGTTGTTGCATGTTGTTGGGAGTTGTTGCGCAAAATTTGAAACCGATCAAACTTTCAGCTACGTGCAAACGAACACAACAACTCCCAACAATGTTGCGTCTGTTTGCACGGGGCTTTAGCTTACTAGGGTGAAGGTATATGTCATTGGAATTGCTTAATGAATTAATGTTCTCAAAAGTGCTGTATTAATGACAATGAAATTAAGAAATGTAAGCTGCATGTTGGTTCACTTATTTTGAATACTGTGACTTAATTAGACCCCTCCTAGAAATAACCGTTAATAGTTTATCCCTTGACTTAGCAACTGAATTAACGCGGGCGCTAACGCCTCTAAGTTTAATTCATTTGTGAAGATTATGTATAGAGATTTGAAAAAAAATTCGTTCGAGTCAATTCAAAGATATACAAAAAAGCGCTAAAAGTCCAAATTTGGAACAAGTTCCACTTAGACAGGTGGTTAGAAAACGGATTAGTTTTCGAGATCGCAAGAACGAAAATACACCAAAATTTCCTACCATCAAAATATTCTTTTAAGCAGCATTC